AGAGCATTTGAACCACATTTGACCAGGTTTCGGGTTTTCGTTATTAACCGCAAGATAGAAAGGAGATTCATCGGTCATCATGCTTGTGGGCCGGTGCTCTTTGTAAGCCAAGTAGGTGTTGACGGGGCAGCGATCTGCGTTACTCTTGTCTTCGTACATTTTAGGTTTCTTCTCTCTAACATTTCGAGGGTTTTCGCCGGTACGCGTTTTCGTTTGTCTTTCAATGTTAAACTCGATGAAGCAGTTTCCCTCAGAATCTGTTTTTAATTGCAAATCGCCCCAGTAAAGGTCTCTCTGCTCTTTTCCTGGCCTCATACCGAAGAATGTACAGTTGTTCATCCAGAAGGTATTTAATAGAGCTCTAGGAGAGTGAATTCCTAGGACTTTGCGGCTGTAAAAAGTGTCAATGTCTTCATCTGACAGCGGGTTTGCTGCATTAGGCCGGTTTCCTTTCCCGATGGATTTCAGCTACTTTTGTTTCTTCTTTAAAATATCTTGCACTTCGTGAAATTCCTTGTCGTTAAGCACGGAGAATCCATAGTTGTTTTTGCGAAGATGCCGGTCGATGCTTTGGATAAACGCTCTGAGGGACGAGGGTTCGTATTCTTTCCATTTCTTTCCATTTTTCTTTCGCACAGCAAGAACAAATTTTTTGATGATTTCTTGCAGTTCCACGGGCGTAATATCTTCAATTTCCCTTTTCTCGTCACAGGCGTCAAGATATTCTTTGAAAACTTTTATGTCGTACAAGGTTTTCTTCCTCGTGTTCTCTTTTTCAAGTTTTTCTGTAAACTCTTTAACTTCTTCGTCGCTGATGGACGCAAACCTGCTCGCCATGCTTTTATTCTAAACAACAAACGCGACGCGAGAAACCAATTCAACAAAAGCAAAAGGCGGGAATCGTGACGTCATTGAACGATACGACACTCACAAAGGTGACATACGGAAAATACGTCACTCGGGTCCCGGATGAAGTGGTGTATGGAATCTACGAGTGGTTTAGTTCCCAGTAAAACACTCTTCTCCATATAATAAAAATTAATATTTACATTTACCGTCATGGCGTTTCGTGACCGCTGAAGAAACCTATTGAAGAAACCTTTAATTCTGATAGTTTGACTTCGGCGTGACTTCATAGAATGCCCAAGATAGAAAAGAAGGAATTCATTACTCACGTTGTTCCTATGCATTGTGGAGACCCTTTGGGAAAACAACAAACAATAACAAGCACACAAAAATAAAGTTCAGACGAACTAAGAAATATTTCATATCACAGCTTTGTTATGGAGCGTTGCTCTCAGAAGCGTTGAGTCTCGCTTGCTGGGAGATAAGATAAGAAATGAGGAGGCGATTAGACCGCGAGTGGTCGTCCTTCTTTCCTAAGGGCCACGCTCGGCGAGCAAAAAAGGAAAATTATGCTCTCGACCTACTGTGACTCAAAAGAAAAATAAGAGACTGCTCACAGTCTAGGAGGATTCTGCAAGAAACAGGATTTTCTCGCTAAAAGATTTTCAATTCCTACTTTATCGACGGTCGAGTATTCTTCAGGATATTTTTATATCGTATTCGACGATTTGTTTCTGAATTTATTCAGTACGCGTGTAAGCGACTGCCTGAAATACGTTGGCAGTGGTAGGCTATACGTGTGTATAAATTACACGAAAATCAAGGGCCTCGATTCGGGGAAAATTACATTATTGCCAAACAGCCAAACATAAACCGCATGCTCACCAAAAGACTCATTTGCATACAATGAAAGTTTACAACACCCAACAACCTCATCTCCAGGGCTCTTCCCTAAGAAAATGGGTGGGGTGGGAAAAGGGCCTGGCATCGGCTGGTCACGTGTCCCCTCGTACACCCTAAAATCCTGGGTGTAATAAATTAGCCCTATGTAAAAAGCTAAAATTGTACTTAACCTCAGAGCGCGCGATCTTGGGCGACCTTTTATATCTCTTGATGATTAACGAAAAGTTTAACAAGATTTCCTTTTTGTCACAGATACCGGCTATGGTAATTTTTTGCTTACCTCCGATTTCTATGACGGGGATAGCGAGTAACATTTGTAAAACTTCTGTTAATAAAGAGGTATAAATGACGAACACGCTATTGTACATGCATAAAGGTTGTACTGGGAAAGTCCGCTTTCTTGACTCTTCTGACAATTAATTTTATTTCTTGCGAAGTGGACCGCCGTACACAGCCTAGTTCTATTCACCTTAACTCTCAGCCATATCATAGCGACACGCGTTAGTTTAGACTTATCCTGTGTGACCCGTATTTTGAAAAATTCATTGACCTCTGGGATCAAACGACTGGCAACAAAGAAAGACTTGGGTCCATTTAAAACTGACAGAGCTGTAGTTGTTTCCAATTGATCAGTCAATCTTCCCTTTAATATAGGGAAAATCCTTTGTACTTATCCTCGAAAGAGAAAATATATAAGAGGTCTTCAAATGTTTCAGATCGGCGACCTGTTATCGTTCCTGGCTGGAGGGCTGACTTGCATCCGGTGCGGAGATTTGTTTGTTTCATGGTCGGGTTGTAGAGAAGACCAGACTCCATAAAGCATTTTGATGAACAATTTTATTTCAATCTGAGTTCAACTTTTTTAAATTCACTGCAGATCCTGGAGGCAAAAGCCCGCATTTTTGTTTGACATTGGACAAAATCACTTTCCGCTTGATCGTACAGTAATTCCACAGTCGCGATGAAGTCCAGTTGAAGTACTAGTCGATAACAGCTTGTCTCAACTCTGAGGCATTTGACATACTTTGTATGTGACAACAACGTAGAGCTGGTAAGCCCTTTCATAAACTTCTAGCATTTGAATAATGCGCAGTTAAATGGATCTTAAGCTTTTGAATCGCACACACACGAAAATATTGACATAGTTCGCGATGTTATTGTTTTATTCCGTTGTTACTTCCTTCTGCCAGCGCAAAACCAGCGGGTTGCATATAAATTAGCTTCTCAGGAATATTTAGGCTAACACGTGACCAGCCGAAGCCAGGGCCTTTTCCCGCCCCTCCCTTTTTTTTGAGGGAAAAGCCCTGGGGACGAGGTTGAACACCCAAACCAGTTAGCCTCACCACCAAAGTTTTGCTAATTAATTTTTTTTTCGACCATGAAAGTGTTCACTTGTTCTTAAGTAATTAACGCTTTCATAGCCTGCGAAAACATCCATTTCTCCTCGCTCTTCGCCGCTGTGGAAGTTTCGCGCGGAGGAACGTCTGCGACTCAGCGACAGAAATTCCATAATGATGACGTAAAAGATGTCCAGAATCCGGTCAGAAGCCCTGATTGGTCGGCGGAGTAGTTGAATTGTTTTAGCTATTGTTTACGAATGACAGACAAAAGATAAAAGGCCACAAAGGTGAAATGTAAACGCGATGAATCTCTAACAAAACAGTCAATATTTGTGGAATATAGTCTTGTCTAGAACAAGTATTCGAGTTTTGCTGGAGCTCGTTCGCAGATGAACACAACACTTTACCAAAATCGACAAGGAGAAACCTAAAACTGAATAAATTTAACATTTGGAACCCCATGACTATCGGATTTATTAAGTAAACATTAACTTGCGTCATCTGTGTGGAATTTCTGTCGCTGAGTCGCAGACGTTCCTCCGCGCGAAACGTCCCCAGAGGCGAAGAGCATGGAGAAACGGATGTTTTCGCAGGCTACGCTTTCAAGCAATAGACTTCGTGGACCGACCCGTTCCGGAAAAGCTCTACACCGCATTAATCTTTCCTAAGCTTTCTTCGCAAAACATGCATGGCTTCGGGTTACACAACGGTCCTTATTCCCAGTTTCCACGCTCTCCGCTAGGAACACCTGGGAACGTGATCTCCCTTTTGTGTCCTCAATACGAAGGAAAAAAACGGCTTGCACATCTTACGAGTCTCGCTGCTTGCGCAAGCGAGACTAAAAAGCGTGCTGCACGCGCAAAGCTGTTGTCCTGCTAATACAAACCTTTTGCTTCTTTGCCCCTCTCGTTGCTTTTTTGCGTAACCGACAACGTTCGCCATTATTCTTGTTGTTGTAATTATTCCGCTTTATGCTCCCCGAAGCATTAAAAGGAATAATGAAAAATAATAATAATAATAATAATAATAATAATAATAATAATAAGGTTAATAGGTTACGCTATGCGCCCTATACTACTCATAATGTGGACAGCATTCCAAAGTTTCATACTGCGACATAATAATAATAATAATAAAGATTACACGCGATTCTACGTATTCGTATCCCAGAATAAGGTCGACCGAATGAATCCTAAACAGGTGCCCTAACCCCACCACTCTTTACTCAATATACAGTATACAGTACTTACATCTTCAATGAAAACGTCATTCGTTGGATGTTAAACATGTTGAATTTACATTTACTGTGGCGTTTCGAGACCGCTGGGCCTTAAAAACTGGTTTCTTGTGTGTAAAGCATTGGGTACCCTCTTGATAAGTCGGCCAAGTAAATTGCTTGTTCAGGCCTTGGATGAAGCTGTTCCTGTTCACACTATTCCGAACTGGCGGCCAAGCCCATATAATCTCTCCCTTAAAATCGCCAACACAAGTAGTATGAATATAACAACGTGAATTCTACAGGTCCGATTCGTTATATTTCCTAATGAAGAAACCTTAAGTTTAAGCTTGATACTTTGGCTTCGGCGTGACTTCATAGAACTGGCCCAAGATAGAAAATAAGGAATTAATGACACACGTCGTTCCTATGCATTGTGGGGACCTTTAGGAAACAATAAATAATAAACAATTAAAAACAGAGTTCAGACGAACTAAGAAATATTTCATCTCAAAGCTTTATTATCGAGCGTACACATGCGTTTTTTCGGTCTCAGTTAAAGAGTCCTAGATTTACCTTAAATGCTCATGGTTCTAAACATTATAAACGGAAACGGAAGACCGAAGTATAATGAAATCAGAGTAGCTTATTTATTACAGGTTTGTTTGATATCGCCATATATTTTTACTGTTGGAATGAACTTGTACGTTTTGTTAGGAAAACCCGTATACCGCCGCTGGTTTCTAGATGGCAGTGATCCAAATGTGAGGTTAGTGGGGTTATATGTATCTGGTTTGTTCAATGTTGGGGGCGAGGCGGGGGCGGGGGGGGGGGGGGGGGGGGGNTGCAGGTGGCATTACACTCATAGCATTGACTGTTAATTTTTGTCTCATAACTTAGGATTCGAGGGTAAAATGGTGGTTAGAACGTTCCTATGACAGGTAATTCTTTTATTCACAGCTAGATTCTATTCATTGCTTTTTGTTATCTTACAGGTATTTTGGTACCGTTAACTATACTAAAGGCTGGTGTCCCGGAAGCAAAGCGGCGACTTTCAGTCAGAATGGTTCCTATGCTACTGTCCCTAACATCAACATAACAACCTGTGACTTTACAATTGCGTTTTGGGTAAAGAATAATGGTGTTGACGGGCCTATACTGGCACTTTGGTCAAAGAGTGGAAAACTATTTTATGTTACGGTCAAGAATTCCCGACTCATTTTATCGATACACAACACTTTCCACTTACACATCAATTACTGGAATCACGTAGCGGTAACCTGTCAGCTACATAAGATCAAGGTGTTCGTTAATGGTACGGAGGAGGCATTGATGAACGAATGGAATGAGTATTTCTTCTCATCGTTAGGCCGTTATCAGTCAGAGTACATCATAGGGAATGATCCAGATTTCGTCCAGTTGCCAATGGCAAATGGGGTGTTTGTTGGAGCAGTCATGGATTTTTATGTAACTGGAATAGCTTTATCCGTGCAGCAGATTGGTGACTTAATCAAAGGCAAGAGTAGTATCTAAAAAAATGCACTTGTATATTAATTATTTGAGTGTTAATGCATTTAGCACGAAAGTACTAATTGGGGACACTATTTTATTTGGCCATTTGCTGACATTACGATGTCGGACATCGAGGAGGCAGCAACAGAGAATTCACTTACTGACTTGAGTGACAATGATATTGAAATTGAAATTGAAATTGAATAAGTACTAATAAGAGACTTCCCCGAAGACGGAGTTTTCTTCAGAGTATTTTACAGAAACCTTTCTTTGTTAAATCTTCGCGTTTTGTTATAGCCATTTATTGTTTTGTTGCAAAATAAACATACTACACTTGCTGAAAATGGTGAAAATTTAATAGGCGCCAAGCCTCGAATAAGCGCCCACTCTCAAGGTCCAAAAATTAATTACAGGCAAATTTAAGTGACAAAATTAATTTTTTGTCCGCTTATTGTCACATTCATGGGACCTCGGCCCCGCAGGAATTAACCAAGAACTTTTTTTAAAGGACTCAACGCATGCGCATAATTAACTCGGTTACTTAAGATGGCGCCGGTGTGCTGGCTGTTAATTGTTTGAGTTTTAGAAGTTGTTAGATAGTTTTTTAGGTTTAGTGGTGTACCTTTCTACATTCATCTATCACTGCAAATACATCAGTGGAAATCACTAAATAATCGCAGTATTATTCTCATTAATTAAAGGCAAACCAATTACACCCGTGATAAACAACAAGGGGTCAGTAATACATGGTTGCAAAGTCAATGTAACGTGGAGTATAAAAGAAATATGCACCATAAAGAAGACCAGCGTACGGTATAGGGAGATAAAGCCACTAGGCGATGAAGCTGAATGGAGAGAATTTAAGGTTCCTGCAACCACCTTTCATCTTTTACCTCTGGAATGCGACAAGGGGTATGAAATTGGAGTGTCTTCCTGGTTTGAAGAAGTTCAAAGCGACTGGTCAGTTTCTTGGAAATTTAAAACCCACTCTGCAGGTGCGACATTACCTTATGTATGTCCAATAGCTGATAGGGATTTGGTATTGACACTAAACCATAATCACTCAAACCTCTGCGAGCGCCCATAAACTGTACACTTCTAGAGAGGCGGGCACTCGCTTCTGCTCCCTCAGAAGCCACGTGGACAGTAAAACAAATCACGACGGAATTTACCACATGAGAGTCTTTAGATGTTTCAAGAACAACAGTAAAAATGAACAGATAAGCCTCCGCTTATGGGGAGGTAATCTGTAATTTTTATTCTTTTAGCGATAGTTCTCCTTCAAATAGCCTGTCATGACATTGTATGTTTACATTTTTCATGGCCATCTTCAGTTTGGGCGCCTAAGTTGACAAATTGGCGATGAAACCAGCAAAAATTGAACAACTTCTTTTATCGAAACCATTTTTACTGAAAGAGGTAAAGAAGCATTGTACAACCTCTTTTCTTTTCTTTTTTTTTTTCATTATTGAGAAAGAGGTGGTAGTGGATACGTCAATCTTCAGGGGAAATGATAGGAGACTATTTATCCTGTTAAATTTCAGAAAATTAGCTGGGTTGGTAAATTTATGTTGATTCATTTCAAGGTTATGAACGATCAAAGTCAACCCGGGTACTTTGTTTGCCCCAACCCACCCCTTATCTTAACAAGTCTGTAAATGCTAGATTGGCACCCAGCTTAGGGCAGCAGCTTCCCTTCCCCACTTCCTCCCCCCGCCCTCTCAGGCCTAAGTACTAATGGTGCATTTCATAGAACTTATTCTAAAACAGGAAAACATTCTGGATTACTCCGTAATAAACTTTTCAAAAAAATCGTTCTGTTTTCAAAGATGTTACAGAGATGACGTCAATGCAATAATCTACATTGTTGGCAGGAGATAAATTATTGTTTTTTGGTTTATTTTGTTACGTTTTGTTTCGTTTTGTTTTGTTTGTTTATCTCTAAAGAAAGATTTGACGGACGAAAATTGTCATATGATTATCATTTGCCTTTTTCCTTGAAAAATAACTTAATTTGGAAAGTGCGGGAAGCTGCTCAAAATTAGAGGATATGGTGACTGAGAAATAGCTTCTTTGATTTACTTTCCTCGTGTAAGGAAATACGTCTTTCATCTGCTCCTGTAAACCTTTTCATGAGGAGAGCGCCGGGAGCTTCAGAAGCCACAACGGCGACAGCGGCGAAAACGTCACTTAAAAACCGAACTCACGCTTTTTCAAACTTTATCGCTCTTACTTCGGCTCCATCCCGTTTAAGTTGCGAAATGTTGGCCGATATTCATACTGGTTAAATTCTGAAGAATAGTATATCATTTTATAAAAGAAAATCGCTGTCATGTGTTCAAATCCTCCATAAACGTAAAATTTGGCAGTCACACGCCGTGGTCGTATAATGACGGCGAAGAGGTGGAACGTTACTAAAACGGGGAAAGGGGAGCAGAGAACGAGAGCAAGGGGAACGGGAAAACAAAAAGTGGGGAACAAACAGAGAATAAATTGGAAATGAATTTACTGAGTGGGCTAGGGTTGAAGTTAGGTTTTGTTCCCATTTTTCGTTTTCCCGTTCCCCGTGGTCGTTCACTGTTTTAGTAACATTCCAGAGAACTGTATAAAAAAGCGTGTTTGCACGTGCAAAATTGTTGTTCTGCTAATACAGGTGACAAACCAAATGCCTTTAATTTTTGCCTTTGTCGTTGCCCTTTCGCTTATTAATAACCGAAAACGTCTGCCATTTCTCTTGTTATTGTAATTATTCTGATTTATGCTCTCCGAAATATAATAGGAATGATGAAAACAATAAAAAAATTAAGATTATACGCGATATGTATATATTTGTATTCCAGAACAAGGTTAATCGAGGAAATCCTAAACAGGTGCCCTAATCCCACCCCTCCTTACTGAATATACGTACGTTACATTCATCCATCATCCTTTGTAGAAGAAATTCTAAAGAAAGATTTGACGGACGAAAATTGTCATATGATTATCATTTGCCCTAATCCCACCGCTCCTTACTGAATATACGTACGTTACATTCAGGGTAACTAGAATCATCCAAAAATACCGCTTTTTTATAGCGAATGCTAACAACTCTCCTCATACATCATAGCAATCATGCCGCCAAACAAGCAACTAGTCGATTATTTACATAAGCTTACTTCTTCACACGATCGTACGCTCAGGTAGGTTAAGGCCTGGGTCTAAGTCATTTATGATTTTTATGTACAGTTTGCAAAACCTATTGTTAAAGACATCCACAAGGGACAATTATGGTGAGGTAAACTAAACTTAAAAAACTTGAAAAAAATTATTATTTTGGTCAGGTGATCGACAACGCCCTCTATTGTTTGAAAATTGTAACCAACGATTCTCACCACTTGCCAAACAAGTAGCTCCAGTTTCTATGTATCAAAACATTGTCCCTACAAAGTGTCTACGAAATCAGCTCAGAATGGTTCGAAGCATTACAATTAGCAGGTGCAATTGGTGTTCACTGACTAGTCCCAGTCCTCCTCCAATTAAAACTATCGACAGGAGAAAGACGTTTATTGACCTCGCCTCATTCCGATTGTTTTTACATGAAGACTATTAGTAGCCACTTTTTGGACCTACTGAACGAAAACGGTCTACTCTCTTTCTGGTGGGAATTTCGATTCAAAGGATTTCTCGATAAAACAGGGTGTAGCTAGTCACGTGATGCACTTATAAACAATTTCTAAAATGAAATTGGAAGATTTCTTGGTTATAGTTGGCCTTAAATTGTCAGTCATGGGATATCTTGAAAATACTGTACGTTATACCACCCGCCTTTAAAAGTTCTGAAAACTCTGTAATGACCCAGGCTTTAATCGACTTGAGCGAAATGATTTGCCGGCACTCACCAAGAATCCACTTGAACTGACCTGTCAAGTCTTTCCCGTGGTTCTCGCTCTAGCTTATGATTTTGTTCAACTTCTTCTTCCTTCTTTTTTAACCATTCTTCATCCAAGGGTTCATCGCCATGTACCATGTCATCTTCCAGGCTTTCAAATTCTGAAGAACGAAGCTACCCTTCAAAGAAGAGCTCTCATCTCTTAAGTAAGCTGCCCCGGGTGCTACCTAAGCATTAAAGCTACTTTTTCAATGATGTGTATAACTGTTACAGTTCTTAACATTTACGATTGCTTGTATCCCTCAGTGACCAGAGAGGCTCCTACCAGTAAAAGTGATGCTACAGGAGGCTCCCCTATCGCTAAAAATGATACTGCAAAGATTGCCTGGATAATATTGGGAGTTTCCGTAACTCTCTCTGCAGCTGTGGTGGTGGGGATAATTGTCTACCGTAAGAGAGCAAAGAGGAATAAACGGTATTTCATTCAAATGTTATTATCACTCAAATTTAGAATATTATGCTTTGTTGCTGAATTGTACTATGATAAAAATATACATACGGAATAGGCGATATTGTTTTTTTGTAAGTGTCTGGGCGTGTCTATCTGGTGTCTTACTCACTCCCAAGCCACAAGTGACCTTTCTTACAGGCCAAGGCAGTGTATCTTTTGAACAAATTGTATCTACTAGAAAGCCGTCCCTGATTTAAACAATACCACAAACCCAAGATTAATGACGAGAAATTTCATTTACATTCAATTTGCACTTTGATCCAGTGAGTCCGACATAACTGAGCCTGTGTTGCTGGAAGTCCCACCCGAACGGGTTACTACCATGGAGGAACTGGGACGAGGTGCTTTTGGAATAGTTTATAAGGGCGTGATGAGGGAGCTACCTGAAAATATGACGTCCCTGAAACGCAAGGATCACAGTTTGGATTCGTATGAGGGACGTATTGTTGCCACAAAAGTTCTACCAGGTGCGTGAATTCAGAATATGCAAAACGATTTACGGGAACCATACTCTTAACAGGTTTGAATAATTTAATCCGATGGGCAGCAAATATTATATTGTGGGAAACAGCATCTCAATACCCCAATCAGAAACAGGGTGGTGTACCTCAGGGGTCCATTTTATGTCCTTTTTTTTCCTACGTATGTTAATGACCTCCCATTTTTTTTCTACCCCTAGAACGGCTCAACAGAATTCTTTTTAAATCTCATCACATAATCTTCATGATGTATATAATAACGTCTGAAACTTTCATTGAGATGAATATTGCAACGAACCGGCCAAAAAGCCGCCTTAAAACTGTTTTGACGTTATACTAATTTTTCCAAATTAATGCGGACCAAACATACCTCCATGAATAGTACATTTCAGTGCGAATATTGTTAACGTTTTACATTCAAAAGATGCAATAAAATTCAAACTGAAATGTACTAGTCATTGAGGTATGTATGGTCCACATCAATTTAGAAAAATTAGCAAAACGTCAAAACAGCGATTGTTGTAACTCGAGCCGTTCTAGAGATATACAGAAAAGCGCTAAAAATCAAAATTTAGAATAAAGTTGCAGTTAAACAGGCAGTGAGATAACAGTTTAATAGTTTTCAGAATCGCATGAAAGAAAATACACCAAAATTTCCGAGCAGCGAAATATGATATTAAGCATCATTCTGACGCTACTTAAAATCAAGTTATTTATAACTTTTATATTTAGGAAAGGGTCCAGATAAGAACGATAGCAACAACGGCAACGAACATGTTGGAATGCAAAAAAGGTGCTAACTTTTCTATTGTCTGTACTTACTTCTGATTGGCTTAAGCAGCAAAAGTTAACAAAACTTCGTAAAGCAGTACATATATTCATCCTTACTTTCCAACCATCTTCCATATAACAAAATCTGGTCTCAGTTTGAATAACAAAGAAATCCTATGTGGGGAACATGTAAAATTGTAAACTTTGCTTGGCTATTGTTTTCAACTCTGATGATTGGTCAAAATGCTTTAACACAAAAAAACACCCCTTCAAAGTGGAGTGTAAATGCATTTTATTGCGTAAACGGACTTCATGTAGGTTTATGCATTCTCTGTGTAAAAATGAGAACATTCCTATGTGGGGAAAGCACTGTTGCCGCATAACAAAAGAAATTGCTATCCACCTTACCCGGATCATTACTTAACAATTTATCACGGCTACTGAAAATATAAGGTTTGAGATACATTTACGTTTTATTTGAAATCAAACATACAGAATTCTTTTGTTTTCACGGAGGTTATTTGCTAAACACCACACTTTAAGTTTCTGGGAACGGATTTTCAGTAGCAGGTCTAGATCGCGCAAAATTCGGTTTTTATCGATTTCAAAGTTTCTTGTTGATTGTGGCCATAATGATATCGATTTTACTTAAAACTGCACTTTGACAAACTTCAATCTAGAGTTAAAGCCAGAAGCGAAAATTTCATAGCAATCGGACAAGGATAAAATCACTGTTAAGGCGAATGAAAAATATTGGTATGGTCTCCGAAAAGCTTTATCGAAACACCTTAACTCCGGCCTATAATCATCATTTGTTTCAAACTTACAAACCGATTAGGAGTTTACGATCATCAACCATGAACTTGCATTGTTAATGAAAGCCAGATCAAGGTTAAGATTTAATCGGGCGATCATGCTTTTTCGTTTTGTACCCTATACTTTGGAATGATTCTCCAGAGCACATAGTTTGTAAACTAGAGTTTGAATATTCGTTCTTCTAAGAGCAATCTTAAAGCTTTAAAAACGTCTAGGAGTCATTTTTATTTTGCAGTTTTTTTTTTACCAATTTTTTTTTTGTAATTTAACGAGTTACTGCTTTGTAGTCGTTTAAGTTTAAAACATTTATTGCAAAGCGCCTTTGAGCTTGATGATGATGACGATGACGATGACGATGACGGTGCGTCGTAACCCCTTGATGAAACCCAAGTACTGGGATGTCCCTGTCTATGCAGAGTCAATGAAAGTGAGACCAATTGGATAGATACGTAGGGATTACAAATGTACACTCAAGGAAAGTCATATTACTGGAGATAAACAGCCCGTGGGTGGAGAATAGGGAAGCAGTTAAAGAACACAAAAGGTAGCGACTAGAATTAAAGAGACAAGTTTCCGTAGCATTTACGTAGGTCAGTTACTGGATTTTTTTAAAATGTCTCTCTTTTTTTTTTTCAGAAAATGCGACAGAGGAGGAAAAACGGCAGTTAGTTCGGGAAATTGAGCTGATGAAAGAAGTCGGAACACACCGTAACATTGTGAGCATGCTCGGGTATTGGATCCAGTCACCTCCCATTATGTTAATCATGGAATATGTTCCAAACGGAGATCTTCTTCAGTGGCTCAGAAACAAAAAGCAACAGGTATCATTATTTTATCAGCTGTATCAATAAAAATTTGCTGCCCTCTTTTTTGCCTTTTGTTTAAAAAATCCCTGCTCTCCATTCGCAGTAGCGCTGCGCGTAAGTACTATTTGTAGAACTGAAACTCAGACAAACAAATTCCTCAATTTTGTTTGTCTTTTTGCCATCAAAATATCACGTTTGTCTGATTTTTGTCATGGAAATGACAAAAATGGCAGAAGTCAGACAAACATTGCAAATTAGTCACTCTGACGTCATTAGTATGCTGTGCTGTACTTTAATTTTCAAATGAACATCGTGCTGCGAGGTTATGTTCTTTTTCTTACATTGTGTGGTCTCTTAAGGCAGAAGGAAAGCCCTCTATCTCATCACACGTCTAAAAACCATGATCGTCTTCAGCAAAAATAATAAGATGCTAAACAACTTGATGTGAGCATTTGTACATGTTACCTATAATTTAATGCTCAAAGACAGAGGTGCACTCAAAAATGTAGATATTTATGACATTCGCATTTTTCCAAACGCGGTTTATACAGCCAGACCTTCTTCTGTTTAGATGCTATTCATATATTCGGAAAACAAAGATCGGTAAATACACAAAAATTTGTGTTAAAACGGAGTTAATTAAGTCAAGCCTGTCCTGGTAAGAAAATAGAATCAGTTTAGGTTTCTGGGAACCTGCCCACCTATCCCTCCCCTAAGCCAACAATTTTCCCTAAGTGAGAAGTAAGTGTTTTGACACTAAAATGCTATCTTAGGGGAGGGGTAGGTGGTCAGAAAAGAGACAAAATTTGACGTTTCGAGCATTTCCCCCAGGGAGACCTCCCTACCGCCCGATAGTATGAGGGTCTACATCCTTACATAGGGTATCGTTGTTGCCCTTGTTGGCTCTGTGTTGATACTTCGATAGGGTACCGTTATTCTATCAGGTAAAATTCAAGTGCGTAAATGCCCAGCAAACAAAAAACAAATCATCTGTTAAAACTGAACTTTACCCTAGGGCCTATTAGGACCGCGATTTAAGGAAATTTTTTTGTGTTTTTTTGATTTATTCTTAGTTTTTGTTTTTCCCTTCAACTGGGCCTCATTTTCCATGTATGGGTCTTAAATAGGATATTGGTTTTTCATATCACTCGTTTTCACTCAAGTACCTCGAACTCCAAATCATTTTCCCCTGCCGCGACATTGGACCCGCGACCGCGACTTTGGACCCGCGACCGCGACATTGGACCCGCGACCGCGACTTTGGACCCGCGACCCGAGACCCGCGACCTGCGACCCGCGACCCGCGACTATTAGTCAAACTCGTGTTTAAACCAACCTTTTATAATTTTTATACACCACATTTGAGGTGAAACAGTACTATTTATCATACAGAGCTCGGACAGAATGCGTTATTTCACAATTTTTCAAGACAAATTGCACTCAGTCAATATTCAGGACGAGCCAAACCGTTCAAAAATTTCAGAAAATTTCCAAAATCACCCATACGGCCAGTTGGTTCTCGTTTCTATAGTGCGAGCTGTCAGTGTGGTCGAGTGTTTGAATGAACTTTAACAGAGTTACTCTTCAACATAATAGCGAATTTATTATTATTTGTTTTGTTATTAAATGGTTTCAATTATAGCGATGTGTAATCTTATAAAGCGTTTGATACGCGCGACATTTTTGAGTACTCCTGCAAGCGATGGTCATGAACTTTGAAAACAAACGGCACGGACAAGCGATTAAAATTGCAAGAGAGACTACTAACAATCAAAAAAAGAGATATAATTCCGTGAAACATTTACAGAGACAACAATTTTCATTCACGAAGACAAGTATTAAAGTGTCTCTAAAAATCCTAAGTCTTTTAGCGTAAAGCTTAAGTTTATGTTTCAGCCGGTTTCCCGGCGCGGTGTTTGCTGTTTTCGAAGGTGAGCTCCTCGAGGCAAGAAAATCGCTCAAAATTTTCTTTCTACAGCCAAATTTATAACTACATATTCTTCGGAACGTTTTCTTTCCATTTGTGGTGAGCAAATATATCTGAAGGCTTTTTAAAGTTCTGTAAGCTTATATCAAACCTGATACTAGGTCAGATCATTGACTCAAATCCTACAAACGTGCATAAACTTGCCGCATAAACTGTCAGCGTGAACTGTCCAAGACTTCATGAAATACAAACATCAAATACAATAATTACTTAGGCTTACCATTCGAGATTCAGTTCCTGAAAGCCATCAAGGGAGGCCACAGTTGCTTGAGACTTTTAAACCCTCTTACGCATTAAGCAAGGTGAAAAACGAAAACGATGCCATCCGAAATCGAATTACCGAATTTTGACAAGCGACGCATTTCTCAACCAAAACCCAGTAAACAAACCAGCCATGAATAACAGAAGACACTTCATAGCAGCTGTATTTCATTTTGTACATCCAGAGGAAAAAGACAGTTAAAACATCACAAGTTGACACAAAACTCTGTCAGCTTCAGCTGTCAAAGTAAACTACTTTCAAGATGCTGCATAATTTTTCCGCATGAACTCACCTGTCAAATTTTGACCAATCAGAGTATAAAAATTGGACGTAGAGCGTGACCAACGCGTGACCATGGTAAGATAAGGTCTTCCCCGCCTGTACTTTTAAAAAAACTGGATGAATTTTCGCTTCCGAGGTCAGTTTGAAATCAAAATCCTAATAGTGCGGGGCCATAGGGACAAAAACACAACATATTTGATATGAATCCTTGGAAAAAATAAACTTGAGCCTGCGATCATTTGAAACTGGTAATTTGTCAGCGGATAACTTTAAAAAATACTCGACCTCGATGGGTGGACACTTGAGCCCGCGGTACGGTCAGGTGATACTGGTCAGCGGATACCCTGTTTTGATAGCTGTCAATCGATCACAGCATTGATGTGCAGCCTGTGCAATTAGTTTTCTCTTGGGCTCCCAAACTAGCCAAAAGTGTGAGATTAAACATTGGTTTTCCTGTGGTGCGGACGGACGGGCGGTCGGTGTACGGTCACGTGATTACCAAATTTTCTGGGATGGGTAGATTTACTTAGCAATGGGGCTCCGCCCACGCGCGCGCTTCGCGCGCGCGTGGAGCTTCGGTAAAATCGAGCTTCCATTTTAATTTCATATTGGAAATTTTTTCTTGATCTAAAGGTATCTGGTAACTAAAAATTGTTTGAGAAATAATTTCATTTCTCTTCCAGGAATACTTGGCCAGCAAGGGATTCATTCATCGTGACCTAGCAGCCCGTAATATCCTACTTGGTGAGGACAGAGCGGTGAAGATTGCTGATTTTGGTTTGTTACGCCACGCAAAGGAGAGTGAAATATACGAAGTTAGGAGCGTACACAAGCTACCAATGAAATGGATGGCACCTGAAGCGCTAGAAAGCGGCATTTTTACTTTCAAGACTGACGTGTAAGTATATGTTAACGAGGTCACAGTTGGGCCAAGCTTAGGCTTCCTGTAATGCAGTGTGAAGTTGAGATTTTAGATAACATAGACCTTGCAATATACTGTTTAGAACGGTCTGGAAAAAAAGAGCACAATTTTGATCATGACACTGTCTACGGTAGCGGTTATCACTCTATCTAAAGAAATACTCAAGTGTTTGGACAACATTAGCCTGTTCCAGGCGTGAATCTTGAAAATAAGATATATAAGCAGAAACCTTGAGCCGATGAAGTTAATCTGAGACCATCTTGGGTACTAGATTCCACGCTCCACATCCCGCATTCCAGATACTAGATTCCGGATTCCAACTCATTGTATTCCAGATTTCAAAAGGCCTAGATTCCAGAATTTCATAGTTTCAAAGTCCATGACTCCAAACAAAAATTTCCTGGATTACCATCCATGGGGCGAGATAAACAAAACTGATATTTCTATGAATTTAATTCTTGCTATTTCTTTATCTGCTTCCTTTTATTGCAGATAGTCGTTTGGAGTTGTTTTGTGGGAACTAGCCACCATGGGTAAGCTAGTGTTACAAATCTTTGTATACTGATGCTGGTAGAATAATACTCTAGTCATTTTGTTATACCTGGGGGAATTGAGAGGAATCCCCAATGACAGTAGTTAGGGAAAAGCTGACTGTTCAGTTTTAGGAAAGCAGTCACGGGAAAATCGAACCGCTTTGTAAAAGAAGCCATTCTCGCATAGTGTCGTGATTGCTAAACAACTAGAAAAAATAATAGGCTAACTTCCGCCGTTCTCCCAGCCGTCTTTACCGGGGAGGAGCGCAGGCTCATAATAATCCAGCCTATAAGTCATACCCTTAACCACAACTTGACCTGATATCACGTGTCACTTGGCGAAATGAATACTCAGTAATGCTAAACTTGTACATTACGTTATTTTAATCCCTCCTGGAGGTTGGTAAATTGATAATACACGATGGACATTGAACTGAGTGGAGAGCAATTTGGTCTGAAATCATATGCGTGATTTCGCGCGCGAGTTCGATTTGAGATCAGAAGTATGATTTCAGACTAAAATTGCACGACACAAAGTGAAATTATCACTTTATTACAGCCATTTTGAAATCGCAAAATTCAATCCGTACCAGCAGTGATTGGCCGTGGCACCAGACAAGTTAGCTCGTTATCCCCCATACTCGTTAACATATATTCTGAAGCCATGCTAAGAGATGCTTTAAGTAGTGTGAATGAAGGTATTCGAGTGGGAGGTCATCTCATTAAGACAGTGCGCTTTGCGGATGATCAAGCAACCTTAACCAGTTCGGTTAAAGGTCTGCAACTTATGATGGGTAAAGTGCAGGAAAGCACGGGGGAATATGATATGAAGATCAATGTTAAGAAGACTAAGGTGAAGAAAATCAGTAAGAGGCCTGGTTAGGAATTCACGATGTTTCTTGAGGGTAAACAATTAAGTCAAGAATCGTCGCACCTTAACAACCTTGGGAGCCTCATTACACAGGATGGATCCTGTGAAAAATAAATTAGATCGAGAATAGCCCGAAAACGCGTTTACTAAGAAAAAAGAACTGCTGACAAAAGCCTTCAGCGCGCTAGCCTTTGCCTGAAGAAGAGAATTATAAAGACTGTCATCTGGGGTACTTTTCTGAATGGAGCCGAATGATAGACCTTAAAGAAAGAGGACGTGCGAAGACTGGAGAGCTGTGGGATGTGGCTTTGAAGAAAGGTTTTAAACATAAATTGGTCTGACAAAGTCTGTAACAAAGAAGTATTGAGGCGTGTCGGTGAGGAGAGGGCCATCATATCTGTTATCAACAGAAGACAGAGAGTCTGGCTTGGTCAAACCCTACGACATGGTGATCATGTCCCATTAGTTATTTAGGGAAGAATACCAGGAAAGAGACCACCTGGAAGACTTCGAGCGGGAATGCTGGATAGAGTGAAGGATGGCAGCTCTTACGTAGCGTACAAGGGGCGTGCCTTAGATCGAGAACCATAGGGAAGGACCTGCCTGTAGGCAGATCAAATAGCCTGTTGAAAAGCGGAAACAAAAGGGCTTTTACATCTCATTTTGTATTTGAAACAGAAATGATGCGATATACACCAAGGTGCGACGGTGCGACGTGGCTTAGAACATAAATAACGCGATTTAGAGCAGATGTGATTGTGTGATTCGTAAATAAATTACACCGCTGAAAGCCAATCAGATTGTTGGGATCACCAGCGATTTCAAAATGAAAAATTAGAAAAGCCTGATAATCTTTGATAAGACAGCATTGATCTTTATTTTGTTATTTTAGGGGGTACTCCATACCCTGGGATAAGCCCTATGAGGTTATGCAGTTTACTTAAATCTGGATATCGGATGGAGAAACCCAACACGTGCAGCGATGAAATGTAAGTCAGAATAGAAATAATAAAAGACCTCCGAATAGAGGGCACGATGAAGAAATACGTACTTACATAGTCCTTCAAACAAATTGTCAACCTTTTCCGAGGAGAGGAAACTTCAGCGCGCCTCTTTGCTTTATCTTGCCCCATTCTAAAAAGAGCCAATAGAACATAAGTGTCTTCAATATTCAAAGTAAATGGAGACATATCTTTGTGTAGTGGTATTTTAAACTATAGCTTCCTTTTTCAACAGATACAAATTGATGATGGACTGCTGGAAGGAGGATCCAAATGAACGACCCTCATTCGCTCAACTAATACCGATACTGGAAGAGATGATGACAGAAGATACCCCTTACTATTATTTCAGACTATTGGATCAGAACCAGCCATGTTACCGTGAGGCATCCGCTTCTAACACCAGTAAAACTAGTACTCTTGATACGAAGCTGTAATTTCTGTGGGGTCTCTATGGTTTAATTTTCGTCAAAGCACCTTTTTTTCTTTAGATTGTTGTAGGGGTCTCGGGGGGAAGGTGGGGGCTCCAATATGAAAGCATAGCGGAATGCTCGACGGATAAGTAGATTAATAGGGACCTTTAGCATCAGGTTTTTCGTGGGAAACGGCAAACCGCAAACCGCAAAATGTCACGTGACCACGGCCTTGCGGTCACGTTTGCAGTTTGCAGTTCACGTTTGAACCGCAGGAAGGTCTTCCAGCGGTAAGTGATTTACGGCAAGGTTTTTTGCCACAAAAAATTGTACAGCCTCGCGTTTAAAGGTATGAACTAGCTTTTTGTATCCGTTTGCGATGTGTTTGTTGGGTTTTGATCTTGAATCAATGAATTATTGCTGATTTTTGGGCGATTAAAGTGATGCACTTCGACTTGATGAAAACAACATGGCGGCCATAAACAATGAACGCGTAGTTCAAACCAATTTTATATTCCTTTCTGCCGTACTAACAATGGAAAGCATTCTGTTCCAATCCAGAGTTAAATTTTTTTTTTTTATCTTGTTACTAAATTCATAACTTAACTCAGGCTCTGTCTGGTTCCTTTTTTTAACGTATCACTCCGCGAATATCATTTTATTTTGCTTATTTCTTTTAGACTGGGGAGCTCAGGCTTCATAAAGCCTTCTGGTTTCTTCTGGGCTCCCTTGCAACCTTACGATTCCTATATGTATTCTTGTATTGTATTGTATTTTGGCTAAATAAAAGTGAACTGAACTGAACTGAACAAATCGAACTGAACGCCTTGCTAAAGTTTGAAATCTCGGCAACCCGAAACTGCAAACGCGTAACTGCGGTTTGCGGTTTGAGGTTTGCGGTTTACCTGATGCTAAAGGTCTCTAATAATTGCAGTTGCACCGTCTGCAACACCAAGAAACTATACTCATAAACTGAACACCTTTGTTTTCATCTTCACTGTTTGCCAGTATTCATAACCAGTCTCCCTCGGTTACGATCACAAATGGCAGCCAAAGTAGGACACTCTCTAACTCATTATGACAACGCCTTTTTCTATATAGATATTTCTTTACGCACAACCCTAGTGCAATAGTGCTTCACTTTATAATGATAATAATAAATTTTTGAAAGGCAAGGGTAAGATTAAATATTGTAGGGGCTTCAGTATGAATGGCGTCACTTTGATATATCGTGCTATTATCCAAAGTCATAGCCAGGCCAAGAAAACCAGAAGAAACGAAAGCCTGTCATCACTCTTCTTCCTCGTGTTCTCAGGACATGACGTCAATGGATATATCGACAGTGGCCTATTTCATAAACGAATGTCCAGCTTTTGTC